TTTTTTTTTTTTGCTCAGCTAGGCTGCATTTATTTTGATCAAAAATACAGTTAAACAGTAATATTGTCAAATATTATAACAAGTGAAAATACAATTATTCTATTTATTCTATTTTAAAACAGAATTTATTTCTGTAATGCAAAGCTGAAATCAGTGTCACACAATCCTTCAGAAATCGTTCTAATTTGCTGATGTGGTGCTCAATAAACATTTCCTATTATTATCAATGTTGAGAACAGTTGTGATGCTTAATATTTGTGTGGTTTTTTAATAGAATCTGAAATAGAAATGTTTTTTAACATTAAAAATGTCTTTACTGTCACTTGATCAACTGAATATGTATCTTCTAAATATTAAAATTATTAATATTAAAAATTCTTTCAAATAAAAAAAATGACTGACCCCATACTTTTGAATGTTAGTGTAGAGTAGCATAGTATTAGCATTGTATACCACCGCTTGTAAAGGTTGCTGCTTTGTTAGAGTTTGTGTAAAATATTACAAAGTGAACCAAAATGATATCCATATTTGTAATAGGAATAGTAGGATATTTTTCAAATACTATGTAAAAATATCAAAACGTAACAGTGAAAGAAACGGTTTGCGCCTCACAGGATCGGCTGTGTCTTCAAATACGGGCAACCCAAAGTGGAACGGTCAGAGTGTCTCTTGATGAGCTACAGCCGGTGAAACCACGCTACCATGTTTCAGATGTACTGCTTGGAGAGTTGAGATATGAGCCGTAAGCCATCAACTTAAAAATTCTTCTCAACAGGTGTAAACCAATTCTCTTCTAGATCTGCTACTGCCAGTTATTCATTGTTATTTCTTTGCAGGCTGAGAGTTAATTGGAAGAGAGAGGACTGTGTATGTCTAACTTGGGGTCTGGGACAGTACAAGCTGCTGGTTTCCTTTTCTCCTTTCAAACTCGAGATTTCCTGTGATGGAGAGGAGATTGTCACTCTCAACCCACAAAACAAACTCTACTTTGAGACTCTGCACGATCCAACTAGGTATCAGGAACTATATATGATACTGTTGTTTCATACCCACTCAAAAACCCATTTGGAAATGCTTGCTAATGTTGGTTTTTCCCAATTAACATGATATAAATTCGTCCCAGGTCATCTTCAGATTCATGCCAGGTGAGAATTTGGGCTTTAATGTGAAAATGTATTATTGACAGAGCCTTCTTGTGTGACAAATCGTGTGTTTCCATCTCAAAAGGACGATGAAAATCGATGTGGGCTGTGGAAGGAAACATTTAGACAGTTTGAGGACATCAAAGCAAATGGTGAACCGCTATAACATACAACTCCATTGTTCATTTTTAAACTGTAATGAAAGTTGTATTATTATTAAGGGTGTTTGTATTACTAATCATGCATACTGAGGGTTAGGGATTTAGATCCATTTATATCGAGGCAATAACTGTAATGATAACCAAATCTATGACGTTTTAATAATCGTTCTAATTCTCTAAGAATAGTGAAGTCCACACCCCAACTACAGTGCAACAATATCGTTATATCACTTTCATTTAAAAAAATGTCCATCTGATGAATGCTAAAAATATTGCCAGTCAGAACAGACTCGACTTTAAAGAGCTTGAATGTTTGAAGAGGCAGATGACAAAACTGAATAGCACACTTATAATAAACAGAATATTATTGTATGTTGGTATGGGCGCTAATATAGTAATGTTATGCAGGTAGTTATCTTTCTTGATGTGAACAGACCTTAACTTTAAAGGTGGGTCACATTTACTGTTGCTTGGCAAAATTTTGCAGGCAAAATCCAGACATTTCAATAGGAAATGGCGTGATTGGGAATTTTGCAATGGTGCAAAACATTCCCCATGCAGATTTTGCATCTGGTTCAAGTTTTTTACATGAATTTGACACGTTGACCAATAGAAAGCTGCTTTGTTTGAAAGTGACTTCTCTGTGGGCTGTGCTTTGTGCATCACTCCACAATTGACATTGAACAATGGACCTTTTTTGCTTGCAAAATTTCACACACACAAAAAATCTTGCTGAAAACACCTTGCCTTAATTATTTAACTTTGGTGTGTATTTTGAGCACCAGAAAATTCATAGACACTTTGGACTCTACTTCTGACATACAACCACCCATAAACACCCAATCAACACCCTGGAAGCCACCTAGGAAACCCTAACAATCATGCCTGCGAGTTACATGAGCAAGCACAATCCACATTTTCTGGTTCTATGTAGTTACATTATAACGTATGATTGCTGATGTCTTTAATCTACAGTGGGGCAAAAAAGTATTTAGTCGGCCACCAATTGTGC